TGAAGGCCTTTGCATAGTCAATAAAGCACAGGTAAACATCCTTCTGATATTCTCTGCTTTCAGCCAAGATCCATCGGACATCAGCAATGATATCTCGCGTTTTAGTATGAATGTATTGTAATCCTGGTGTGGTGCTGTAGGATAAGCACTGTACTGCTAACCATAAAGTTGGTGGTTCAGACCCATCAGCCAGTCCCCAAAAACCCTATACATGGTCATTATGAGTCAGAACCGACTCAACAGCTCTTAACATGATATGAGTAAAGAGAGCTCTGATGTGGTGCTACAGGACTGCAAACTGTAAGGTTGGTGGTTCAACCCATAAGCCACTTCTCAGAAACCCTATACAGATCACACATGCACTTAACAACAACAACATACAAGTAAACACATGGGTTTCAAAAAGTTCATGGAAAAATTCTGTTTATCTTTTCATTTTTATTTTTCCCACTAACATTTTGTTGTACCCCTTGTGTGTGTGTATATATGTGTATGTGTATATAGAGAAAGTACTGGTGTGGTGCTGTGTGCTGGACAGCAAAGTTACTTTGAACCTCAAGGTTGGTGGTTCAAGCTCACCGGTCGTTCCTTGGAAACCCTATACAGGTTCTCTATGGGTTGGAACTGACTCGATAGTACTTACCAACCAACCAGCATATAAATATATAAATGTGGTGGTCTGCTTATTTCCAGGGCTGCCCTGTCCTTGGAATGGACTCAAAAGCAGTGGAGCGACAGGTAGTTTGGTGACACGTAAGAGTGGGTTGAGTTTTCTCACATCTTTGATATGTTAATAGTTCTAACCCCAAGTTGGGGTTCTGGTGTTGCACTGTAGGATAAGCACTGGAATGCTGACTACAACATCGGGGATGCAAAACCACGAGCTGTTCCTGGGAAACCCTGTGAGTTGGAAATGACCCCATGGTATTTAACCACCAAACCAGTTAGGACACACAAACAATTGCAATGAATTACTTTTACATTAATCACTTTTTCAGTTATGTCAAACTTTTATGTTCGATCCATGATTTTCAAAGTGTAAGCTGAATTGCTGTTTATCAGATATAAACAGTGTCACCCAATAGTGGCTATAACATCAATATTTCAAATGTGTACAGAAAGATGCAGAGTGCTCTGTTGTTGTTAAGTGTGATCCAACTAACAACAACACTGTACAGGGCTCCCAAGGAGGCCTGGTGTGGTGGTATAGCATAAGCACTGGACTGCTAACTATCGGTTGGCAGTTCAAACCCACCAGCCACTTCTTGGAAACCCTATACTGGATGGCTATGAGTTGGAACTGATTGGATAGTACTTAACAACAACAAATCTTTACTGAAGCAGGAAGCCTCATCTTTCTCTCACTGTGCAGTAGCTGAGTTTGAATTGTCACCCTTGCAGTTAGCAGTCCTGTGTTTAATCCTACAGTGTCACATACACAAGAGATTATAAAATTAAGAAATATGTTGATATTGTAGGAGTACTGGTGTGGTGCTATAGGATAAGCACAGGACCACAAAGTCAGTTTGAACTGTAAGGTCGGTGGTTCAAATTCACCACACATTCCTTGAAAACACTATAAAAAGTCACTATGTATCAGAACTGACTCTATGGGACAGCACTTAACAACAACAACAACCATATTATTATATTATGAATAACATTCTCAAAAAAATTAAACTTGCCACATTTCTCAGTGCAGTACAATATTCAAATCAGAATAGGCAAATCCATAGAGACAGTAAGTATGGGATACTTTTGAGGGTAGACTACAGGGTAGAGTTTCGAGGGATATGTGGGGTGAATGGGTTTCTCTTTGAAATAATGGAAATATTCTAAAATTGATTGTGAGAATGTACAACTCTGTTAACATACTAAAAAATATTGAATGGTACATTTTAAATGAGTGAAATACATGGTATTTGAATTGTATCACACAGATTTGTTGTTTCAATTAAACTTGTTACATTAATTTAAAAAACCTACATAAATATATCCATCATGAGACTTTTTCTAATTCCTTTTTTATTTAAAAAGTTCTTAGAGATCATATTGTATATACCCATGTAAAGGACACCCAGCAAAGTTATATAGAAACACTGTTTCACAAATTTTAAAAACAATCATTACCTAACATATTTAAAACAAGGAATGAATAAAGTTGACCAGTCTATTTTAAGTTAAAAAATATTTAATATTATCAGATATAAACAGTGATGATAACTTTACACGTGGCTCACTCTATACATAGTGTTAAGGGCAAAACAAGTTTGAGGAAAGAAATGTAATTGTTGGGCTTGTAAAGGACTTATTGACCAATATGAAATTGATGTCTATTTAAAATGGCAAGTTTTACAAAACTTAGAGATCACTGGTTTGAATACATATGGTTGATGTATAGTGTTAAGAGAAAAAACAATCCTGTATATCTTTTAAATCTTCAGAAGTTCAAAGTCAACACTGATATTTTGTACAACCATCAGTGTTATCCTAGTGATCTAGAAATTTATTATAAATTGCTTTTATCTTTTGCTAGTTAATAATTTTTATTAGGATTTGATTTTATTTAACAGTAAGGACTGAAGAGACAAAATTCGATTTTAAACATTAGGTAAATAAATTACTGATGGGTTAAATAAATTATTAATGGGTACTCAGCTGGACATTATGTCCTATATATAACCTATTTCTTAATGTATTATCATGAATATATTTCATGAGAAGTTGGGTATTCCAAAAACCTGTTTATGAAGTACTGTGAGTGAGACTGTGTGCCAGGACACACTGGGGCTACTTTTCAGATGGACTATATGTGTTACTAAATGAAGCATCTGAAGACTAGCAAAATTCTGTGAAACGACACTGCTCCACCCAATGGCATGTCTTGAGTTGCAATTTATACTCCTTATTTCTCGATGGAGCAGAAACTACAGACCAAACTACAGAGTACTTCTATAATGTACTGAAATAGAACCGAGAGCTACGATGAGGCTGCTGCAATCCTGAGCCAATCCCCTGTCCTGCCATCATCAGAGTTACAAATGCAAAACTCATTCAAGAATTCATATTTTCACCAAATGCTGATAAGTTTTCAAGTTATCTTGCTAATTATGCTTCTGGCCATGTGGCCAGCTAAAATAGTGTCATCTATTCAAGTAAGGAAATCCATATAAAACAAACATTTTACTTTGAAAACTTCCTTAAAAAAACAACCAAAACTCTAAACTAAAACTTTGTAAGTCTTGAAACAAAGCACTCATGGCCACATGTTTGAGTCTGATGAGTCTTGTAGTCCACTCATTTGTCATGCTTCAAGGGTCTCTTCATTTGCTCCACAAGTATCAACAACACAAATTAAACAGCTTGTCACTGGAAAAGCACGGACTTTGGAGTTGGCGACCCATTTGTCTGTTTCAGTGTTGTACTCCAGGATGTGTCCTAAGCGCCCCACACCTTGGAATCCAGCCAGGACGTACACTGTGGAGCCCACTGCTGCGCACTTCACAGTCACACCCTTCCAGGGCATAGGTGAGACCATCTTCCACTCATTTAATTTAATATCGTAATACTCCACATTGTCCAGACCACCTTCAAAAGAATAACACAAGGATGATTTTATGAAGATCTCTTAAAGAAATTATACTTTCCCAGCATATTTGAAAAATTTCAATCACAAAGTTATAGGACTTTATAATACATGTCCATATTGCCCATTTATCTAAATCCCACCATTAACATTTTACTATTCAAAATGAATTTAATTTTTTGTATTGGAATCATAAATATTAATATTTAGTCTATAAGATGAAAAAAAGGTTTTTTCCCTTCTATTCTGGATAATTAGAAAGTAAATCAATCAGTGGATGTTCCCTGCAAGATGAACTTCTATTATAATTAATCTAATCTTTAATTCCTTCTATCATGTATCTTTCAATCATTTATAGGAAATAGCAATGTATGTTGTTGTTATTAAGTATGGCTGAGTCAACTCTGATTTTGTATAGGGTTTCCAAGGAGCAGCTGGTGGGCCTGAACTGCTGGCCTTATCATTCATAGTCCAGTGCTGATCTTACAGCACTACACCAGGAGTCCAGTATAAAAGGACATTTAAAAAGGTTTTAAGAGTTGACTTTGGCGAGGGATAGTATAGAGAGAGGAAAAAGGGAAAGAAATTGTTTCTTTGTTATACTTAAGTAATGCTTAAAGGTACTAGGGTACAATGAAGCTTGTGGACTAGCTCTAGATTTATTCTTGAATCTCCATTATATAAGATTACCTAAGATTTTTTTGGCATACTATTACTAAGGACAATAAAGAGGACAAATTTATTCATTTAAAAAATAGATATGGTGATAATTTAGATGCCTAGATGCAAGCCCTAAAACCTACATTTAAAAATATTTAATGGAATAAATTCAATTGCTGAATCACTCAATGATCCTTAAGCTCTTGTGATATCACTCCCCAGGGAGTATCTGAGATTGTCACATTGCCTGGTGGCCAGAAACGACATTTCACGGGCTGTTAAACATCCAGCAATGTTTTATAAACCATGGTAGTTTTCAGAGAGCATAAAAATAGTTCTATTAATGTATGTGATAAATGCTTGTCTCTAGATTTTTAAGAAATTCTTCAATAATTGGAGGTAAGAAAGTCAAAAGCAGATTCATTGGGAAAGTTGAACAGGAATGACCATTTCATACCTAAACCATTCTGACCTCCCACAGCAAATATCTTGTCCTTTACAAATACCAGTCCATGGTTCTTCCTGACCTCAATCATTGGGCACAGTTCAGTCCACCTGAAAAGATACAGTATTTTAATGTGTTTGCTTACAGAAAAGAAAAGGACTCTTACACTAACTTATTAGAAATGTTTGTTACCACAATATTCAGATGTGTTCATACACACACACACAAATGGCTAAAAAAACAATTGTTTAACAGAGATTGTTTACAGATGGAGTAAGCAGGGATTTCAATCCTTTCAACTCAGAATACAAGACGATATGAGGAACAGAGGATGCCTAGAGATAATAACCATGTCTTAGGAAGAAATCTATGTCCTGTGCTTCATAATAACTTGAAATGATGCTGGAAACCACATGACAGAATTTTGTAAGACCGATGACTTATTCATCGCAAATACCTTTTTTAAACAACAGAAAAGGTGATTACATACATGGACCTAAGCAGATGGAGTCCTGGTGTGGTGCTATAGGATAAACACTGGACTACAAGGGTGGCTTGAGCCACAAGGTCAGTGGTTCAAACTCACCAGTTGCTCCTTGGAAGCCCTAAAAAGGACAGCTATGAGTTGGGACCAACTCAATGGCACTTAACAACAAAAACCAGATGGAATACACAGAAATTGAACTGACTACATCTATGGGAAGAAAAGGATGTGGCACTGTAGGATCAGCACTGCACTATGAACCACAAGGTCGGCAGTTAAA